GTCTCTTGGAGGAGAGACGAAACGTTTCATTAGAGAAGAACCTGTCCAGAAGACCTATACAATTTTTTTCTTTTTTTGATTTACATTTACATGTGGCATGATCGAAACATGCCTTTCATACATGTGACATCCAAATGTACCATGTTTTCACATATGAAACATTTAATTTCTGTTTGAAGTTCCTGTGATATTTCTGTAAAAACTAAACTAAAATGTTGCATGTAAGGCAAGGAATTTTAACCGATTTGTTTGCAACAATTCAACAAAACATTATTTGAAGTTTCACAATGGAATTTTTTTTCCCTTGAGGGAATCATATCTCGTAATGGTCTGCCTCAAAGCAACAATGTAGACAGGCTTGATCTATAGTCTGATATGCAGATAAAAGTAAAAACTTCACAGATTATGATGTTAAAGAAAATAAAAGATTAGAACTGCAGATGAAAGCTGAACCAGGTTTCCGTGGGTTTGAGTGTCTGAATCAGTTTGTAGCTTTTTTAGTTTTATTTTTGATGAATGTCCTCAAATTAAAAAGTTAAAACAAAATGATACATTTGGACATACAATTGAAGGTTTCTACCTGAGTCTTAATAACACTTCTTTCTGATTATCCCTACGACAATCACTTGTCATGCACCTACCCAAAGGAAAGCACTTTCTGTGGATTTTTAGTCAGAACAGGTAGAACACAAATWGTTGCCTGAGATCTCTAGAAACACTTTCAACAGAGATGGATATTTCTCTCAAATGTAAAGGTTTTGAATTTTGGTTTTATGTTTCTTTATAAAATATGGCATCTACAGCTTAAACACAAAAAAAACTTATATTGCACATATTATTTTAACCCTTAAACAGGATATTTGAATTTACTTCCAAATTTTAGTGTTGTCCGAGAAAAACGACGGTTCACCTATTTCATAGTTTCCCCCCTGAGTGGCATGTAGAAGCCTGTTCTTTACCTGTAYGCTAGTTTCACAACTATCCTAACAGTTATCTTTGGAGAAAGGAATGTACTGTCGTTAGTAATGTGAGTCGCCAATAAATGTTATAAATAATGAATAAAACTTACCTTCAGACGACASTGGATGAACAGTTTTGAAATAGTTGAGAACAAATGAGAGAGGATGAATACGTCTCTTATCAAAGCTGCACTGTGCGCCCAGTCAGTTATCACCATTTCCTGCAATCATTGACTTCATGTTCCCCTCCCTTTGTTTTTGTTTAGCCTCTCTGACAGTTTTACTTTCTGCACAGCCCTGCTTCCTCTCTCCTGCACTCTGATGTGGAGCGGTGCTTTTTATTGCTGCTGTCTAGACCTGAMTTTTCCACTCTCCTCCCATGTCGAATGTGTTCCTTCGTTTATTGATTCTTTCTGATTTTTGGAGTCAAGTATTGACTAGCTGCTCGCCAAACGAATGAACATTCATGTACAGATTTAAATATTTTAGTCACCACCCCCTCTCCCCCAATTACAATTAGCTTTTATTTTCTAAAAAAAAAAAACACCACCATCAATTAACAGACACAGCAAGCATCTCCCATAAACCAATTTAATGGATCAGAGAAATTTGAGAAAGCACGACGCTAAATCGCAGCCTTAAGGCTTCTCTTGCATACGGTCACACTGAGTGTATTCAGATGATTTCTGTTGTAAGTAAAATGTTTCAAAAGAGAACAAACAAACAAACAAACAAACAAACAAACAAACAAACAAACAAACAAACAAACAAACAAACAAACAAACAAACAAAACAAACTCATAAAGAAAAATTTAAATCAAACCAAAAGATTCTCAAATGTAGGAATTCAGCAATTTACCAACCTGTCATAAAAGGAAAAAGCCAGTTCGATATCTTTGAGACTCATGTTTTTAAGATCACATGACCAGGAAGCAACACAGAAGGGTTTCATTTCCTCTGCAAACCTAAAGCGATGTCAACTCCACCGTGAGAAAATACATACAAAGGAACCAGTGGAAATAAAATAAGGTGCATTATATTTATTTGACAAAAACATAAAAATGCGACTTTAAATAAAAACAAGTAAAAAAAAAACATCTTATCTGCAAATATCAATGT